TTCATACGCATATATATAGTAAATAACAATTTTTACAATTCTCAAGTGAAAGCACTTTACTAATTTAAAGAAATTGAAAACTAAAGTAGAACAAATTCGTTTCTGCATAGTACCAATTAAATGGAATAAATAAAGAAATGAAATTGGCAAAAATAGAAAAAAAGAAAAACAATATAAAATGTGAGTATTAAAACCATAATAAACTCTATGTACGAACACATGAAGGTATTAAAATTTTAAGTGCCATTTGAAATGTGTGGCGTAAAGAACTTGCTGCCATAAATTTTCATTACAATTGCATACACACCAAATTACTCATATGAGAAGTAGTAATCCAGATAGCCATAACCAAAAACGAATGAACATACACGCACATACCTACATATATTATGTAAATGTGTGCATATACGATTACGCTCGTTGGAAGCTTTTAGAAGCAAATTTTTCTCATTCTAGGTATGAGAAATTCGCACGTCGCGCCAATATAGCAGTATATTCACATGTGTATGTATGCAGATATATATTATATAAATGGTATATATGCTATGTATGTTTAAAAGTTTGTAGATATATGCAAGCATATACAATTTTGCCATTTTTCGCTAACTCTACTTTATAATTTGACTCATATGTATGCCGCTGCACGTGGCGGTATATGAGCTTAAGTGTGTGCATACGTTAAAAAATGAGGCCAAAGTATTTCGAATTGCATTAGTAAAATGAAATTGTTAGCTTGATAGCAGGCGAATTAGGAACCCACTCGCGGCTTTCATATGTGTGCATAGTAGACTCGCAGACTCACACTCGAGCACATTTGATATGCAACTAGAAAAGTAAAACAAAATAGAATAATTTAATTACGTGAATTGGTGTGTGTGTGTGCAGCAAACTAGTATATTTTAGCGCAATAACGCAAATTAAATTCCATTTCAAGCGCAAATTTAAATGTTTAAAGTAAGCATGACTGAAAGGGGGAATGTATACATACTCCGTTGATAATTGTAAGCAGCAAAGTATTATCACACTAACACCCATACAAAAAATATAAACATATCTACATATATTCCTAAATAACTGCAGATGTTTTTTTCACGCTGAGAAGCATTTCACAAGTCGCAATCACAACTCAAGGGGTTTTGCGCGCAAAGATCACAGGCTCAACGCCTAAAAATGCGCAACGACAGATTACACGCTTTCAGGCTAATCGCAGTTGCCAAACTGAGATTACAGCGAATTGTTGCTCCTTTGTTATTTCTATTTCACGTATTTTATATTATTGCTTGTACAAGTGTTTAGGTGTGTTTGTTGTACACACGTGACCTCGTGAAAGGTGAAAAGTTTGCCTGTCAGACTAGGCAAAATTAAAAGCCGCCAAAATACTGTTGGCAGATTACACGTACATTAATGCAGCAATGTAAATATCCCCACTGTGGCCTTATATGCTGGAGTACGTATACATGGTGCTTATACTGTGCAAATTACGGGTGTGACCATGAGTGTTAAAATAAAAATTAAATATCTATTGAAAAATTTTTCATTTATTGAAAATTTATGAATATTTTAATATTAAAATAATAGTATAAATTCATAAGTATATTAAACAGTTCTAATTATTACTTTTTATTTTAATTATATAATTATGTGTATATAATTAGTATAAAATGCAAGGAAAGTGGCTTATAATTTTAGTTCTATTTCATGATTTTCATCTTTTTTTTAATTTTTTTATTCTTATCGAATATCTGTGTCGGCTGACACTGAACTGCCTGCGTCGATTAGTAATTCCACCACCGCCTTCAAGATACTCTAAACGTAACTGATGGTTCTGGAACCATGGCACTAATGGTTAGGACGATGAGTGAGATTAAACTCTTAAAAATTTCGTACCAAAAATAGTATATTACTATTTGTATATAATTAAATGTTACTTTATCATTAGATTCGATGGAGTTAAATATTTTTAAAACTAAATAATGTTGACTACTCTATGAAAAACACACAAATAGTTTTAGAAAATATTGAATGAATTATAGCGTTTAGTCTTAGGTTATCACTTCATAATAATATTTAGCCGAAATTTTTTGTGCATGCTCCAAAAGTATGTGTGTTTTTTTTTTTTTTTTTTTTGTGTTTAATTTTTTTTTTAAATTTTTTTTTTTTTTTTTTTTTTTTTTTTTTGTGTTTAATTTTTAAGTCAAAGTCCAACCCTCCTCAACGTGTGATTAAACCAGAACTGAATACCAACTCATGCGCACACATTCTGCCTATGTGTGTATGTGTGAAAAGCTTTGCATTAAATTAAAATCCTTGCACAAACAGCACGCCCATACAGAAGCATGCAAGTTGCAGGTATGGGTACACACACACGCACTCGCGTTTGTTTGCCTACTTTCAGGCAGGCAGGCAAACTTACACACACATGCCTGCGTGTGGCTCTGCTCATTTACAAAGTTTCGCAAATGCCAAAAGTTGTGAAGCTAATAAAAAGCGTGTCACTTTAATAATAACGAAAATCAAATGACAGCAAAGCTAACAAGCTAAGAGAAAGTGAAAGTGAAATACGTAATCAGTTAAGAAAGAAATTTAGGTTGTTCGTCACAAATCAAATTAGGCCTCAGCCTCGGGCAAAAGAAACGAGCACAGTGAAAGAGAATTACACAGAAAGCAGAATAAAATATTTTATTCTGTAACGAATTGTCAGTGGAGTTGTTTACTCAATAATAAAGTGGGAATATTTACTTGCAAGCTGGTGGTTTGTATTCGAAATGTCAGGCAGCTCGTTCCGTTTTCAAGAAAATTATATTTTTTCTGAAATTTTAATTTAATTATTTAATATTGCCATCGAGAACATTATAGTGTTTGAAGCGATATTAGAACTTTTTGAAACTATTCTTAAGAGGCGGTTCGAAACCTAACCTAATAATAACTTCCTTTATTTACTAACATACACATATATGTGTAAATATGCAGGTCATATGAGCAGCCGCCAGTTGCCATAAAAGCTTAAACTCAAGGTCTTTGTATCCCCTTTTATGATATAAAAAATGCACCTATTAACGGTATTATATCTTCAATGCAGTGTAAATTAACGTTTGTCATGATATATATTATTAGAACTCTTTCATACCAAAAAAGCTTTGAAAAACATAAAAGAGAGAAACCACCAAAAACTTTTCCAAAACTTCACAAGTCAATTAGATTTCAGAAAACTCTCGTCAATTTCATACAATGATAAACAGCGATTCAGCAGACTAACCACAAAACAATATATTGCAAGGACACATGTGGTAAAATGCTAACTGAAACAGAGGCAACCCTATACAGATGTGGAGAATATTTCAACAGTCTTGTCAATGGAAGAAGTTCAAATAAAAATCTTTAAAGGAAAGCCACAGTCAGTAAGTGAACCACCACTAAAAGCACTGGAGTTCAGAGAGCTATATTAGATCAGTACGGGCTTAAAGAATCACAAAGTTCCTGGAAGAGACGAGATACCTGAAGAGCTATGAACCATGTCTTACTCCGCCATATATTTAATTTCATTCAACAGGCATGACAACTAGAAAGTATGGCACAACAACGGGAAATCGGAATAATATGCTTATTGTTCAAGTAAGGAGACAAATTTCAGTGCAATAATTATACACCAATCATACTGCTAATTATAGCCAATAAAATATTTTCCAACAGAATCGGTCAAAATTTAAACGTTGCCGAGCATAATTTATGGTGATTATTGAGTTTAAGTACTTAGGAGTAAATACTAACAATACGAACAATATATCTGCGGAAGTAAATCAAAGGATAATAGCCGTTAAGAAATGATATCTTGAGCTAAACAAACACTTAAAGCGTCGCAGCCTCGATATGTCAGTTAAAATTTCAATGCAACGCACACTGATTATTCTTGTTTTAACATAGGCTAGTGAAACCTGAACTTTAAGCAAAGATGAAGAAAACAAGCAAGAAGTCTTTTAACAAAAGGAAATAAGCTGAATTTTGGAGCTAAGAAAATCCGAATTATTTTCGAGCTGTTGCTCAGCCCAATTCACGAATATTCTGGTGATCAAGCGGCTTCAGTTCTTATGTCAATTTGATATTGTAAGCCACAACGAAGCCATAGAGATGCCCAATGCTTGGAAACGACGTATGAGAGACTGGCACGGAAACATTTTGTGCTGTGCCTCTGGAATCGCATTTTTCCAAAAGACGCTCAATTGTTGGTCTGAGAAAATGATTATGACGACCATAAAATGAATGTCTGATATTTTTAATTGGACGTAGCGCTCTAAAAGTTGAGGCCATTTACTCCGAAAATCGGTATTAAATTTAAATAATTTCGACTCGTTGTTGGATTGTATATCTTTCCATGATAAACTGGAAAATTTTAACGAACAGAAATGTCAAAATTGCTGAAAAAAATATGGCGTTTGCTGTTTCTATCGGTCTACTTTTGTAGCGCCCTTTTGAAAGCATCCACTATAATTAAATTTTTGAATCGGTTTGTGCAGCTGATGGTGATGATAATTTTTAAAATATCTGATTTCAAAAAAATTTTTTTAAATGCGGAAACATTGTAGTTTTAGCGAAGGAGGAAATTGTATAAAATATACTGTCCAAGCATTTTAATTGTTAAGAAATTGAACGTAAGAAATTAATTGAAGATATTTCTGAAATTTTTAATGAATGAAATGCTGAAACTCCTTCAAAAGTTTTCAAATATTATATTTTTTGTTTCTTTTAAAGAGTTTTAGTTTTTGGTTTGCCACTATTTTATACATCCTCTTAGCACTCAAGCACCATTATGAGGAGTAGACAACTATTTTTGGGTGCCAGAGCTTTTTTTCTTGTATACTTATGTTCTTGAAAGCTTCCTCTTAAATATTATTTGCATAAAATAAAAGACTCTAGCAAAGAAAACTGCATTTTTTCTCTTTTCACGCCATTACCTGTTTCCTCGTCGCTGCTTCCTGTCTCTTTTCGACCATGTGTTTCAACAGATGAGTGTCATATTCAGCTACATTGGAGTAAGCATCGTGTTGTTCTTTGTTTCCCGCTTCTCCCCGTATGAGTGGCGCATTGTGCAGTATCAGACAGGTAAGTGCTGCATAATATTCGTAAACGGATTTGTCAAATATTTAAAAAGTGTATAAAAGACTTCGCAAAAGAAAATTTGGACACACAAACGAAATAAATAATAAACACGCATCGTACAAAAGCAGGAAGAAAATTTAAAAATATTCTCTGAATTGTCTCTTCCTGGAAATTTTCCAAGCTTTACGAAAATGTTGAAACTTGAATTACTATATGTATTAAGACTACTCTAGCCGACTTTCAAAAAATTTAATTAAGTATTTCCTTGTGAGGAAATAATTTATATCAAAACTTAAATACTCGAAAATATAATTTAAACTCCCTTATACCTAAAATCAAATCAAATTAATGCCTAGAATTTAAATATTTTCTTTATAATAAGCTTAATACTTGACTTAAATTTGCAAAAGCTAATTTAATATACCCACTTTCACCGTTTGCCAATCAATTCCTCTTCCAAGCTGTCCTTTGATTTTACCACACCAGAGCACTCAAAGTGCTCCTAGTGGCATGTTCACACACATACATGTATTATAGATGTGCTGCCAATTCGATTGGCAATTTAGCAGGAATCCTGGCCACAAATCACAAATCCTTTCAATTAGGATGCGTTCATTTAATTCACTCGTTCTAATCTTGCTCCACATCAAAGTCACAAATTACAGTGACATGCCACGTTGGGTGGCGGACAGTCAAGGAGTCATTGGAATTGTAGCATTACGTACACATGTCTAACAAATATATGTATGTGTGTATGCATATATGCATACAAACCTCTCGTCATGCAAATGCCAACGAGTTGCCTAACTTCCATAATAGTTCCATGTTGCTGTGGGGCCGAAAGCTACAGCTGCACAGCTACACATCTATTAGACGACGGCTGCGCCTTAATTTAATTGCTAAAAGCTTGTGCATATTCATGTGAGTATATATAGAGACGAATTTTCGTCAAACATATAAAAATACCTAACCAAAATAACTAAGCTGCTAACGGAATTTCGGAATAACGGCATTCGACACATAGCAGTGCACACTTATATGTGTGATTTGGTGCAGGAGCAAGACAGCCTCTGCTTTCACCCAACAGTCGCATCCGTCGCAGATAATACATACAAATATACTCTCAGGACCACTAGGAAAGTACACGGCTTTCCATAAGTTCAGCGTATTTATAAATATATATATTAATGTTAAATCACTGCTTTCAATTGACCGGATTGTATTAAGTTGCCTTCAATTCGCTGGTTCTGTTGGAGAGTAGTGTATTGGCTATGATAACTATTGTAAAATTTTTGTAAAATCCGAAGTTACTAAAATTAATTAATTTTATCATTCAGCTATTCGCAAGGGTACAATTGACCTTAACTTAGTGCAAATCTTGGAAGATTTGAGTACAGCGATCATACCTCTTTATTGCGGTATCAAAATACATTCCTGTATCATATCAACTCGATAACTATGTTTTTGTTTTAAATGTCAATTTTTTGACAAGAGAGCACCGAGAAGGCTGCTAATATAACCTTACATAATCGACCATACTCCGATTTTATTTGTGAGGATACAAACATCAGATTTGCAGTCTGAAGTTCATGAGCCAACGTAATTAAGTTTCAATATCAAATTTGTTAGGAAAAAGTTGCATAGGTAATAAAAAAATTTTTCTACTACGTCTTGGAACACATTACAGTCTTGAAGCGAATTTCATTTCGGATAAAATTGCATTACTACTTAGTGTTGCAGGCTTCATGAAGAAGTCGGGGTTTTCTTTTAAACTCGCTTAAAATTATTTTTTTTTTAATGTGGAAGGGAATTGGGAAATGGTCTTCCTTCTTAATTAATTTTGCACCTTTTCAGTTTTCTTTGGTTGATAAGCGTGGCACACAGAACTAATTTGTACGACTACTTACGAGACGAGTACTAAATACATTTCTCGTACACGTAATCCAAAGAATGTCTGCTTTGAAGATCGTTCAACCGAGTGAATGCATTTTTAAAATGTCTTTTTTTCACAATAGATAATGTCAAGCCTCCGAGTATTTTTTTGCTGTGACATTTTTTAGCCCAAAGTCCCTCAGACCTTCCAATACAGATAAGCCTCAGACAAAAATGTTGTTTCTACGATCAAAACTGCGCAAGCTTCAAAAGTTTGTCGCAGAAATTCACAAGGTTACCAGTAAACAAACTTTTAAGCCAAAATATTCCCAGCAGGCCTGTGAGCCTCTGAAACGGAGGCATGTAAATATTTGTTATGTGTTTGGGGCTTAGTAGATAAAAACTAAAAGCGGAATACCAGCATGCCCCAGAGCGGCATAGCAGCCAAATAAGAGGAAAATAACATCTGAAAGCACCCAAAAAAGAATAGCAGATAAAGAATGATGATACGAAATAAATGGTAAAAATTCCAGCAGATATAAGAACGAAGTGAATGTGTGACGGCCAAGCATTCCTTGGCACATGTGGCATTCAACGCACGTAGGCCTCCGAGTAAGCTGGGCATGTGGCATGTGCCTGGCAGCGCCTGACTTTATGCGGCATTCAAAGTACGATATGCGCCATTCACAGGCGTCCAATTTAATAGTTGCAGACGGCCTTTTCGTTAGCACTTGCACAACTTTGGCATACATTTCTATATAAAGACATACATTCATGTACGAGTATAATCAATGAACCAGACACAATGACCAACGTACAAACATACACACATGTAGGGGAATAAACAATGTGAATGAACGCTTGTCATTTTCAAGTTGTATGCAAATACCTACAATCAACTGATAATGCCGGCATGCACATAAATGCACAGACAGGCAGAAATACGCATACAAACACAGACTCTTTTGATAAACAGTGTATATGTATGGTGCACTACTGCATACACGCTTGCTCTATCATTCCATCATTCTCTATTATTACTTGCCCACATCTTGTCATACTTCAGGTTTTCTCTTTTCCGGCAGATTCGCATGCACATCACGATCAAATGGCTAATCAACAGCCACCTGGCATCATCGGCGGTGTACCTGTGCCCGGTCCAATGACCGGTGCGACTAGTGCCACGGCTAGCCCGGCAAATATTGGCGTAGTCGGTGCTGGTGGTGTGGCCGGAAGCGTTGGCCTCGGCTCATCCGGCAATGTAGCGGTCAACGAGTTTAGCATTTTGAATTCATTTTGGTTTGCCTTGGCCGCTTTCATGCAACAGGGCTGCGACATATCACCGCGTTCCATCTCCGGTCGCATAGTTGGCGCCGCTTGGTGGTTTTTCACGCTCATTCTAATTTCATCGTATACAGCCAATTTGGCAGCGTTTCTCACTGTCGAGCGGATGGTGACACCAATCAATTCGCCCGAAGACTTAGCTATGCAAACGGAAGTGCAGTATGGTACGCTCTTACATGGCTCCACATGGGACTTTTTTCGGGTAAGTACAATGCAATGCAATGCATGGCATATATATTAGGGTGATTAAAACCAAAAAATATGTTTTTCGTTTGGTACTCTGAAAAATAGGTTCCTAGACACCTCTAGGGTAGCCTCTCCATGAATGAATTTTTAATTATAACAGGAAGGTCCTCCTACTTACAGTTTTCTATTTTTTCATATTATCAGATAGAAAAATTTGTATCTCACTTCCAGCTACTTGAAAAAATATTTTGTTTCTTACTTTTTGTAGAAAATTTAATGCTCTACAAAAAAGGTTTTTTTTCGTAAACCCAGCCGTTTAAAAGATATTTACGGTTAAAGTTTGATTATTTTTGGGGATTTTTTTTTTTTTTTTTTTGAATCACCCTAATATACATATATACTTATGTTGTGCGGGCAGATATTTAACAAGAAAGTTTAGCTGTACCAGGGACACCGAATTTGCCTACACATGTAAATATACATATGTATATATGCCGATGCAACAGTTGTATAATGCAAAAGTTTATATGTATGTACTCTGATGACGTGGTGGAGAAACTCGGCAGTTTTCTTACTTTCAAAATAAGAATTTCTACCATATATGTAATCACGAAATTGGTGTAACTTACTTTTTTCTATTGTTTTATCTATTGTTATTTTTAACATTTGTATGGATGCCTGACTATTGGAGCAAGCAGAACGAAATTAAATATTAACTAAGAGTTTGGTATCGAAAGTGGTTTTATTTGCAATATATATATATAGTATATAGAATATAAATATTTTTAACACGAAAGCGTGATCCAAAAGCTGCTAGCTTTTCATAAGATTTTCTGAATAGCCACTACAAATTTTCCTTGCAGCACTCTATTTCATTTATCAAAATACAGAATATTAATCCTTTTAAGGATCTCCGTAACCATAGTTGCCAACTACTAAATTTCAAAAGCATCCAAAAGTATTTTTTAAAGCAAGGAGTATTAATTTTTTAAAATATATCACAAATATTTATACTTCCGCAACGTAAAGCTGAAGAGTAACATATTTTTTTTACCTGAAGTATGTAAAATCTAAAACTAATCGAGATAGATATAGGGTTATATATATACTATATAAATGATTTGGAAATCCGGTTGACTGTCTGTCTGTCCTAAAAACCGAAACCAAAATATATTATATAAAGTACCATAACCACAAAGTCAAAAAGTAGGTAGTATGAGATGACAATATGGGAGCCGGTGTGAACATTGGATGATGGATGTGGCACCTCCGGCAACTTTTAGGTGAAACCACATATCTCTAGACTCGATCGATTTCGTACTTCAAATTCCCTTGGCATTTCCTTACTATATAACTCAGTTCTAAATTCCATTTGATTCTTTTACTTTTAGTATACAAATCAAGAATAAGTTAGTATATCAAAATAAAACTTTGCACGAATAGTGTATTTTAGGTGTTCAACCTTAAATTTGTGTGCCCAGTGCTTATAGATGCCGAAAATATCGGTCATTGTGTGAGATACATAATTGAAATTCAAAGATAATACTTTTCTGATAGTAGTATGTCTGTGTGTTACAAGTGGTTTCAGTATACCTAATATAGAGACTTTTGAGCTACCCTGTGACTTTACACCGCATACACCAGCCAATATGTGAGTTATATTATTAATATGGAGAGAGTATGTTTTCCTTATGATGATGCAGCTTTAGGCTTAGAATGAATAAAATCGGGTGAAAACTCGCCGTAGACCCTATATAACCAAGAGGTCGTATGTATCTGAAGGTACTTGGGTACTTCTCTGTGTTTGATCCTTGCAAGTTGCAACAGTATGAAATGTTCGTTCACACACGAACTAGCCAGTCTTACTTTTCTTTATAAGAATTTGTATTTGGCAAGTAAACAACAAAACCACATATATTATTTGAAAATTTAATAAGATAAATCTTTCCGGTCATAACTGTCGAAGTGGCTTTGGCGATTTATAATAACTATAGTGTCTAAAAACAATAACGACATTATGTCAAAGTGACATAAAAACCCTCAAATTTGGTTAAAATGGGCTATGTTTTTTAATTCAAGTAATGTTACGCCATTTACGATTTAAGCAAATCAAACTTTTCACAATGTTTCCAGCCGCATTTCGAAGGAATAAGCAACACCACAATTCGAACCAATCAGTCAATTTTTGGAGATGCCATTGCGTTTTCTGAACCCATATGAGAAGATGATTTTTCGATAAATGCGAATTTTGAATATTTCAGAGGACGTGAGGTACCGTAATATTGTTGGGATTGGATTTTGTTGTACCAAAGTGAAACATTTCATGATAAAATGGCAAGTCTTACTGAACATACTGACAATATATGACTGGTCACATAGAAATCTGCACAGCTAAGAAGTTTCTTTATCTTATCTTCATAATTGCACTGTATTTTTTCCAATTGTATGATTAGTGTAAAACTTGACAGCAATGAATATACACGTTCGCGAATCGGTTTTGCGCAAAAAGCTGGAAAACCTAGGCATGCCTCATGGCGACATCGCCAAAAAATTTAAAATTGTAAAATCTTCGGTATCTTTCATACATAAGAGATACAGTGACTCCCTATCATTGAATAGAAAGACCGGTAGTGGTATAAAACAAGGATTTGAATCTCCGCTTATAGCACAGAAGTGTTAATCTGTTTAAGACGAAATCCTGGACTTTCAGAACGAGATCTCGCCAAAAAAGTGCAAATGTCACTTTCCAATGTACAGAAAGTACGCAAAGGAAAAATATTATGTTCCCTCAAAGTGAATGCAGCAGCAAACCGCAATGATAACCAACATGTTTTATCAAAAGGGCATGCTCGACAATTATATGAAAAGTTCATGCCCAATTTTAACCGCGTTGCAATGGACGATTAATCCTATATAAAAGTGGTCTTAAAACAAATTCGAGGGCGACAATTTTGCGCAGTAAACAAAAGGGGAAATGTTTCTGATAAATTTAAAAAGAAAAAGCTTAAGAAATTTAAAATAAAAATGTCTATAATGGCAGGCCATTTGACAGTGTGGCTTTAAAAGTGAACCTTTTATAGTCTATGGAACAATAAATCAAGAAATGTATGCCAACGAGCGCTTACAGAAACGTCTTTTGCCTTTAACTAAGCTTCGTAAGGATCCAGTACCCCTTTGGCTTGATCTTGCGACATGTCATTACGGAAAAACCGCTTTAAAGTGTCACCAAGACAATAGAGTGCTTGTTGTTCCCAAAGAGGTGAACCCTCTGAATTTCCCACAGCCGATTGAGACTTGTTGGGCCATTATTGAAGTAAAACCGTTAAAAACGCCACATACAGTAGAAAATGAGAGGCAATTTAGGAATAAGTGACGAAACGTCAATAAAGACTCCACTAAGGATTCTGTGCAAGCGCTTATAAAGGATGTTAAGTCTAAACTACGATTATTCGCTTATAAAAAATATCCTGAATATTATATCTTGAATTCGTATAAATCCATATATAAACTATATCTTGTATACATTTTTCTGAAATTGAATAATAAACATAAGTTTTATAACGTTATACGTTCGACCAATTTTTTTTTTTTTTTTTTTTTTTTTTTGCGCACGTAGTTTATGTATATCCGTAAACAAACATGGCCGTCATACCTATCGGTAGACGCTGAAGATTGTTTTTATTTGAACAAAATTAATGGAGAGTCTAGCTTTTTATAAATACAGTAATGTCATAGGTTAAAGTATTTCGAATTATATCATGTTATGAAATGTCCATCTATTAAGCCATCTTTTTTGTCGTTTTAATGTTCAAAAAGCACTCAGCTGCCAACTGTTAAGTAAGATAAATTCACTGCAAATGAAGAGTCCTCAGTCTCACAACCAAGCATTTGCATGTATTTATACAATTATTATTGAAAATTAAACTTTCAATGTTTAATGTATGGCTGCCAAGCCCTTCGGCTTAAAAATAAACTTTCAATGTTTAATGTAATTGCTTGTTGATTGAAGCCGAGGAAAACTCGAATAACTTTTGTATTCACTCAATAATTCTCCGAAATTTAAACTTTTAAAACTGTAACTACGTGCATAAATAAATATTATATATGTACATACATATATGTATCTCATGATTTTCCAAGCACTGCGGATTGGAAAGGTATTAAGGCTTATGGATGCTGTCTGATATACGAAATATTGTATATGCATAAAAGTTTGTTCACAAATATACATATATACATTCATATGTACACATGCCGAGCTTGTAAAATTTAATTTGATCGATATGTGTGTACATCCGTCCGGTTTTTGCTATACTTGGATTTGATATTTGTGATGTGATTTCCCCACGTGGGTCATGTTTTTCACTCGAATCTGCTTGCACATGACAACATTACGCCCTGTACATGGCAGAGGGGTGGCTTGTATTTTCATGGTAACTGCGTTTTTAATGAATAAAAATTCAAATATCTGCTCAAGTTGTCAAACATTTTCAGCCCAGTCAATCTTGCACCAATTCACTTTGGAAATTCCTGTAATAAAATTTTTCTTTGATTGATTTACGCTGTCATGGGGTGTAATTGCCTGAAATCAATATCGGTCCAAGGAAAAAATATGGAAAATAAAACTCGTCGAAAGTGAGCTGGGCCACGCTGTCAGTACAAATGACAATGCCAGACAAGCTCCGAGAGACAGACAGGCAGTGGTGAGTGAATACGAAAGGACCGTGCGAGTAGGATCCATACATTGGTGAAGTGTGCCCATGTCGGTCATATTTGAATGTAAAGCACACACACTTGATGTGCAAATTTAGTTACAGATATTGAGCGCATCAAAGTGTAGGAATGTATGTACAAATGAGTGAATGGTGGGTGGTACTCTGCATGATAGATTCGAGTATGTATCAGAACGATATCACAAAGCAAAGTGAAGTTGTATTGATATTCTTGGAATCTATGTATGTATAGCTGTTAAAACTCTTTATGAATAGCGAAACTTTTTTCCATAAATCCTTCATAAAAGCATTATGGTCCTGTATGGTATTAATATGAAAGTCTCTTGCAGCCTTTGTCGAACTGAAGTTTTAATAATATAATATATTCCAAATATCGTAAAGATATTTGCCAAATAAGAAAAATTTCATACAATAACGTGATTTTTGTGATGATTATTCAATTGCTATTATTTTATAGCAGTTATATACAGGGTGGGCCAAAAGAAACCAAGGGGTGTAACTTAAAAGTGCCATTGTGTCTCGGGCAGTATGGGCAGTAGCTCCGACCTGCTGAAACCACATACCAGGTCTGTTTTCAAGAGCAGGACGTAAAAAATTTTCTATCATAAACCGATACCGCTCTCCATTTATGGTTACAGCACTTTCATCTTCATTCTCGAAGAAGTAAGACCCATTGACATTTTCAGATGTGATCGCACACCATACCGTACACCAATTGGCGTTGATGAATGGCTCATGGATTTTGAGTACAGTTCTGCTTATTAACAAAGCCATTCAAATGAAAATGAGCTTCATCACTCATAATCACGATACGCTCTTTGCGTTAAAATAATTGATCACTGGTTTAAATAATAAAATTCTATTGTTCTGGTTCTCTGTTCAGTTGTGTACCTCTCCATTATAAATTCTCCAAGTGTTGTCTATATAATCTGAAAGCAAAAACAAAAATAATAAACGAAAAAGTTATTAAACTTTTACACCCCTTGGTTTCTTTTGGCCCACCCTGTACCATAGGGGTCCGAATTGAAAATTTGTTCGGAGATTATAGGGCTGTCTTTGATAATAAATTCTGTATGTCACATTTCGTGAAGATAATCATATCTTATGGCAGTTCGATATCGGCGATTCTGAGAAATAAGTGGTTTCTTGGGAAGCAAACGACGTGGGCAAAATTTCAGATCGATATTTTGCAAACTGTGGGACCTGTTCAGTCATATACAGACAGGCGAATGGACAAGCAAACAGATGGAAATGTGTAAATCGACTCAACTCGTGTCCCTGATCGATTATATCTGCAATATGTATGTATATATCTAAAGGATATTCACTGTTTCCTTCTATGTAAAAAAGGGCAATGTTTTATTCCTATCCGAAAAATTAAAATTTTTGAGCAGAAACGCACTCTTCGATTATCCTCTTAAATATTACGCCAGAACTAAGCTTTAAGCAGACATACCATATATGAACCCATCCAAAAGCTGATTATTATTTATGGTAGTGCACGTAGTTGTCAACGAAGATAAAAAATTGGTGCAATCGCAGTGATGCTCTTGGTTACTGTTGCAGCAGTAGACTGTCAAAAATAATTGCACAGCACGTCATTCAGTAGTCAACAGCTTTTTGCTGCAACTCGTCAGCGCAATGACGTTACATAGAATTATATTTTTTCCCTGGCAATAAGCGAGCGCAAAATCATCAATACAATGTGCATTCGTAGATGACATATACATACACACGTAGTATGAGCACCATGCTGACTAAATCACTCCAGCGAAAATGTCAAATTCAATTCACCATTTCAATCGCAACATGTGGTGGTAATAATGTGTGAAGAAATCGCCTCGGAGTTGCTGAAGTGCAATTGAAATAAGTCGTTAAGTATAAATTTATTTGCTTTAAGCACCTTAATCCAGCAAGGTGTTTTATATATCAGATTAAACTATCGAATTTCATCTCTCAGAAAAGATCAGAGCACACTATTTCATCGTCTATGGTATAAACTTTTATTTTAGTGAAAAACCAGAAAGCACAAAAACTGCTATTTATGCTTCGTTTCTAATTTAAAGGCGTTTAGTGCTTCACCAAAATTTTGAGCAGAATTTTAGCGACTCCTTATTTCTACTTCGCTACACTTCTTCAGATTAGTAAGTACTTTTTATTTCATTAGTAACTCGCTGAATGTTTGTTCCAAACACGCACCGATCATTAACTTAGCGTAACTCCACAAAACGTAGTAAAAACATTGACGCGTTGTGTGAGAAGTGGCGCCGTCAGGTTGAACCCAAATGGCGCCGAGATCACGTGTCTCAATTTAAGTTAACAAATAGTCGGTTATTATGGCGCGATAACAGTATCCATTGGTTATGTTTTCAAAGGCAGTATTTTTGAATATGGAACGATGATTAGACCGATGATTAAATCACACCAAATAATTATTTTCCCTGACGAAATGGTAGCTCTTGAGAGTCTTCAGGTTGAACTTCGTCCTAGACATGGCAAATTTGCTTGTTTTCATACCAATTGAACAAGAAATGTACCTTATCGCTGAACGAAATTTGGTTCGACTACCTTTCTCTTCCTCTGCTTCACCCGGCGTGAACTGCGTTGAACACTTTCAGAGCTGGAGTATTTTCATCCATACGGACAACATGACCTAGCCAGCGCAGTCTTTATCTCTTAATTCGCTGCACTTTGTCAATGTCGTCGTATATTTTGTTCAGCTTGTCGTTCCATCGAATGTGATATTCGCGTTGCCAATGCTCAAAGGACCATAAAGGAGAGTTTTTCTCTCGAAAACTCGCAAAGTTGACTCATCAGATATTGTCGTCGTCCAAGCCTCTGCACCATAATAATGAGTGACATATAGAGTTTTGTTTTTGTTCGTCGAGAGAGGACTTCACTCCTCAATTACCTACTTAGTCCGAAGTAGCACCTGTTAGCAAAAGTTATTCTGCTAGCATTGTTGTTGGTGTTAATACTGGTACCAATATAGACGAATTATCTGCGATTTCGGAGTTATGACTGTCAACAATGACATAGGACGTCAAGAGTGCGATGACTATTTTTTTGATGACAGGAGATATTTCGTCTTGCCCTCGTTCACCACCAGACACATTTACTTTACTTCCTTATCCAGTCTGGAGAAAACAGAACAAACGGCACAGATTTTGAAGCCAATGGTATCAATATTATCAGCATACACCAGCAGCTGTACACTCTTATAGAAGATTATACCTGCTCCATTAAGTTCTGCAGCTCGAATTGTTTTCTTCAGAAGTAGATTGAAGAAGTTGCATAATAGGGCGTCGCTTGTCTGAAACCTCGTTTGGTATCGAACGGATCGGAGAGGTCCTTCCCCATACTGATTTAGCTTTTCATGTTGATCGACGTCAGTTTACGCAACCGTATACCAAATTCAGACACGATGTTAAAGCAACTTTAAAATCTACGAAAAGGCTAGGCTGCTATATTTTCTTCACTGCATGCTGGACGTGACCTATTATGAATGCTTAGTCTCAGGATGGGTGATGGTGTAGTGAATAGTATGCTTAGAAGGTCAATTGTATTAAACAAAAATTTGGCGAGTGAATTTTCTTAATAAAGTTGAACGATTTGTAAACGTTCGTTAAACTTTGAAGGATGAAATGCCCATACTGAACAAAAATAAAACAACAGCTTGACACGACTCAGACGTAATATGTCAAAATAAGGTTATAGAAAAAAACCTCTACTTGGATCACCCGTTATATCAATGTCTATATCTCAAGATTTTGACTTTTTCGCTACACAGTTTTAGCACTTTTAGTGGTTTTAAACGTGACCTCTGTATAGAGAATGAGCGTGACTATTCTCTGGAATTTCATTACTACAAATTATAAAAAAAAAAAGTTTGGAAATACTAATTACGCAGATGAAATAAAGACACAAATGACTTAGGACCTAGGCAATGGAAACTATTTGGAAAGTTTTCGTATATTTGATGGCAGAGAGAAATTTATTAATTTAATTGAATTTGCTGCCACACTCGAACGTCACCACTAATGTATGCACGTGGGTAGGTACCCATAAAAGTAACGGGAAATTTCAGCGGCTGATGCACACAATTATTGTGCGATTTAATAAAATTCTACAAATTCTTTTAGCTTTTTATTAATATTTTCAACCTCCCAACGGGTGCACGCTATTTGGCCAACCGGAAGTTTTTAAGATTCACTCTGAAATTCTTTATCCCGGCAGCTCTTTCTGGCAAAAGCAATGGCGTCGCGAAAGCAATTTTCAGCAACCCGCTGCTACGTGTAAACATGTGCTCAACTATGTATATATGTGTATATGCAGGCATACCTGTAATGCATTGTATGTGGAAAGAGCACACACATACACCCGTGCGTATTCACGGCGTGGGAGTGCTGGCACTTCGTTTTGTAAGATTAATAGGAGCGCATTCGCACATGTGGCGGTGTTTGTTCTTCTTTAAATATTTAAATTGGTGTGCACACATACACGAGAATGTTCTTGCAAATAATGTATTTATAATGAATTACTATAGATATATGTACATATGGGCATACAAATTTATTATGTATGTAAATCATTTGTTGTGCCGTTTTGTTTCTGTATTTCAGCGTTCCCAAATCGGCTTACATAACAAGATGTGGGAGTATATGAATTCGAAAAAGCATGTCTTTGTAAGCACATACGATGAAGGTATACGTCGGGTGCGCACATCAAAAGGCAAATATGCCCTGCTGATGGAATCGCCTAAGAATGAGTATGTGAATGCCAGAGAACCCTGCGATACAATGAAAGTCGGACGTAATCTAGATACGAAAGGCTTTGGCATAGCAACACCGATTGGATCACCTTTGAGGTAAGTATACGAGATTGCATATATATATATATATATATATATATAAGGGTACGTAAATTTTGATTATATATCTAATGGGTAAATTGAGAAAGCATTGGCGAAATGCGGAGCCATCGAGCAACCCGAGCATACATTAATTTTTGTGGGAGGAGATTTTTAATTTGAACTTAGTATATAAGGCATATGGATTGGGCTTGAAGTCTAATAGAAATGCTTTTGTATTTCTAGAGTGAAGATTATTTCTTCCGAATATTAATTATTTAGTAAACAGGCACTTGAAGAAAATATCTTCGGCGAAATTATCTATACGTTTTGGTTCTTGTTTAACGAAGACTGCTCAGAAATTCTATGCTACCAAGCATCTAAAGTTCTCAGTTCGCACTTATACTCAAATCTACCAAACATTTGCCGAATTGACTTACAGTGGACCAATAAAGTTTACATACAACTAGTTCTATTAAATTACGACACGTTTATTTGTTTCAAAATGAATAAATTTTGTTGTTTTCTTCTATCCATTTCAAGATATGTATATTTAACATTAAATAGATCACGAAAAGAGTGAAGAAAGACTCTTCATAAAGAAGAGTCGCAAGGAAAAAATGTATTGCCAATGGTAGAGCAGTGTTACGGTTTTCGGGTGTATGGTTACATCTAGAGTTGGATATTTGGACATTATTAGTAACATGGATAAGCATATGTATCCGAACATTTTAAGAAAAAAATTTAAAATTTAAGTGTGCTTAAATCGGCTGTTAATATCAGCAAAATCAATTTCCGGCATAATGCCGACACAAAATGCACATTGTATCTTGTACGTTCAGGGCTATTATGGGATTAAAAATAAATACATGGGTCCCGCAATCACCAGACATTAATTCTATTCAAAATATGTGGAACTTTTTGGAAACCCGTTTTCGAAAACATCAAATTTCTTCAAAATAAGGCCAAAACGCTGAATCATGGACTTAGTGGATCAAAATATCCGGAAATAATACTACAAATTGAGTGGGAAGCATACATCGGCGTCTAGGAACGCTTTAGCATTAATTTTTTTTATTTGTGCAAAACAAACAAAAAATTGTGATATGCTATATATAATGCTAAATATACATATTTTAGTATGGATAGAAAAAAAACGCAAAATTTATTCATTTTGAAACAAATAAACGCGTCGTATTTTAGTAGAAGTAGGTGTATGTACACTTTATTGGTTCAATGTATGTAATAAAGATTTTTTTTTTTTTGTTGTAGTAGGAATCTGTGAAAGCCAGAGTAAAGAACTTTAATCCCATAAACCTACCCTGCTCTCAACTCATTCGAACTCTTTATAAAAAATCGGCTACTTTTCTCATGAAACTGAAGCTAATTTGGCAACTGTCATTTTTCGAACGATGTGCGATATCGATATTGATGAAATTTTAACCTAGGTTTATTAAAATATAATGGAGAACTCTATGCTGCCAAAACTTTGTGTTCCTCTCTCTCTGGGTTGTCAGAAATTTAATTCCCTTTATTGAATCACCCAACAAGGAATTTTAAATTTTGTAAGCGAGCGAATAAGTGTTAGCTATTTTGCTGAAAAACGAAACCTCTGAGTAAAGGATAGGTTAAAGGATTTTCATGAAATTTTTAAATACATACATATACATATATACTTAAATTCCATTCAGATCTGAGAACTACTGAAATAAGTCTTTTTTCTCTTTTTGGGCAAATGTGAGTTTAATTTTTTGCCTTACTTCCGAAATTTTGCGAAATAACTTTACATCATTTTTCATACCACTTATACTCGTATGCCTACTACGTGTACGAAATTATACCGACATGCTCACGCCAGTGCATAGCTAACGAGCGCGTCTTGTCTTGCCACAGCCCAATGCACGCCTCGCTGAATGGCTGGTAGCAACTTCAAAGGCTGACTGGTGCCAACAGCAACAGGAACCAAAGCAGTCAGCTGTGCAGGCAAGCAAATGTTGTATAATGTATGCCAGTGGAATTTCTTTATTAAAAATTTCGCCTTTTACATACGTCTATATTCATGTATATATTCCAAAATTCCGTATATGTGTAGATAAAAATATGTGCATATATGTATATATACATATGTATGTTATATACATATGTTAGGCTTGATTAAAACTACATAATGCAAAATGCTTCGGCATATACTATATGGTAATATTTTTTCTTCAACTTTTTTTCCGCATCTGTTCCCTTATACCCTTAGAAATAATTAAGAAATAATACCGCTCGACGTTCGGAGCGCTCGGAGTGAACACCTCAAACTTTAATCTCGTTTTTCTCAAAACAAACTTTTTTAAACTGGCGACATGATTCCGGTCGACCAACTCAACCGATTTGCTAAATTTTGTTTTAATGTTCACAAAACGCCATCGTCCATACTAGATTCATAATTTTTTATAATTTTTTATAATTTTTTGACAATATTATGACAAAATTTATGTAAAAAAGTGGGGAAAAATTAAAAAAAAGAACGTTAGTTACTTTTTCATTTATGAACATTTTTTCATGATTAAAGTAAGGACGATAACCATTCACATACTTTTTAAGAATAAATTGGGGTTTTGTGTTTCAGATGATCCAAACATGAGGAACCGTCTCCGCCAGTAAAAAAACGCATCTCATTCACGCAGCCATTTCGCCGATAGATATCATCAAAAAATTCCCAAGAAATTTCTTTATGCACTGAAAACAGTTTTATTGTAGAATAAAAATTTCTATGAAAGAAAAAATTAAAAAAAAACAGGTCAGATTACTCTACTGAACCCTTAAGACCTACTGGTATTCGCCGTACTTTGTACTTTCAATGAAAGCTCTTATTCCTCCGTGGAATACATTTTTTCTACGACTGATATTCGTTTTCAAAACAATTAATTGTTATCTGCTTGGTTATTCTAGTTATTCATTATGTTATTTTCTACTTTGTTCTTTTCATGCTGCCAAATGGAATGATATGGATATGCAACCATCAACATTAAATACCACACGCTGTTTGGCACAACAACAAAATCACCAACTTAACGGGCATTAATTAAAAATAACTAAACATGCACACACATATAAAAACAACCAACTAAACTACCAATTCTCCAATACTTTTCATCCCACTAACCTCATACAACGACAAACTTTTGCAAACCACATGACCCACTAACCTCATAAATCCGAAACCCAACCGAACTATTTAAATGTCTATTGGGCAACTTTCGGCATACAAATGGATTCCACACCAATTTATTTGCTCCAATACTTCTCATGCACAAACAAACATATGCACTAATTTGGCCGACGCCACACAGAGATCCGATTAATTTGGCTGTGCTATCGCTGAAGGAGAATGGTGAATTGATCAAATTGCGCAATAAATGGTGGTATGACAAAACTGAATGTAACCTCAACAAGGACAATCAGGACACATCACGCAGTGAATTGTCATTGAGTAATGTGGCTGGTATATTTTATATATTGATTGGTGGCCTCTTGGTGGCTGTCTTTGTGGCTATCATTGAGTTTTGCTTTCGCAGTAAAGCGTCCGCACAAAAAGCGAATGGCTCCATGCTGAGTTCAGCGTCCGGCGGTGGTTCACATCGAAGGAATTCCCTAACAGATGCCATGCATTCTAAAGCGAAATTGACTATTCAAGCGAGCAGAGAATATGATAATGGTCGTGTTGGGGTAAGTTGAAAATGTATTGTATTGGTCGCCATTAACGTTTACACACATGCACATTACATACAAATATACACCTAGATTATGTGAAAGCATGAATTTAAAATTTAAAATGGATTAAGTATTGTTCGATAAAAGACTGAGAGTTGAACCGAATAGTAATCAGTGCAGAATCATTTTGCGGTGTTCAATTTGCGATAAAAAAAGCCGAAAGAAATTGAAGGCACAACGTTCGCATCAGTAGATATTGTAAGTTCTTTAAAAAATATTTCACAACAAATAACATACAAAAGGTTGAAATGAAGTAGATTTTATATGGCGAAATTCTTTTAATAACGCAATTAAGAAACGATAACTTCTGAATCTAATCTTACAAAACTTTCTGTTAGTAGTCTTTCTATACTTATATAAATAGTTTCTGTATAAATATTCCATGAATTTATAACCAAATAGCTATCTACCTGCTGTAGGAGTCTCTGAATATTAGTTGTTTGCCGAATTTGATAATTCTTATTCCACAAAAATGATTGTAGAAATCTATAATGCAGGTATATCAAATAAATCGACTGCCAATAACTGCAACTTTTACAGCATTACTTTTGAGCAGCGTTCCACTTTTCTTATTATGCACCAGCAGCCATGCCCAGTTCCCTCTTTATTAATATAATAATTTTAATGACATTTTTTGCTGTAACCGTTAAAGCCACTTTTGCTAATAGGATCCAAATTCATCCTTTAAGTCGTGTAAAAACACTTCGGGTTGTCCTGAAGTCCCTTTTGATTCAATTGAGCAGGTTTTCCATTAATTTATGTGCCCATATCCCTCTATACCCGTTAGTCCATCAATATTGCCATTATGTTAGAGTTTTACTCTAACCTCCCGCTATATATAAATTCGGATTACTTCTATGTTGTCAATGAATTTACGGTTCCCTGATCTTTCAGCGCTCAGTAACCAAAAGGTAAATTGATACCCATATAGTAGATATATTTGTACTACTAGAACTTGATTTAGCTGAGCACACACTCAGGACTGCCGAAAGTTGTATTGTATTACCTTGTATCGATAGTTTTTTTAGTTTTTTAGTATACCTTGTATATAGACTCTCATCAAACATTTGGAGTTGTAACTTAATTTCATTTTCGGTGCATTGATACACCAGCATACGGGCTTTTAGATAACTTCTTACCATTTTCATAAGATTAATGAATGAGGAATGCACCGCGACCTTGGGTCTATTGTGCCCAATTTTCTTCTTGAAAACTATCTTCGCTCCATTTTACACTGTTGAATGCATCACGAATGTACAGCATGATCAGAAGTACTCTACAGGGTTTGTCTAAAAAGTATGAGAACTGAGTCGATTTAAAAAACTTATTGAACCAATCATTACAATTTTTTAAAAACTTTAAAAATCTTCTGCACCGATGCAGCTATGCCAAGGGATTTTCCATTCTGCCGGCGTGTGTAACTCGGGAGATTGCCTCTTTGTCTCGGTATCATACTGAGAGATCCATGACTCGTCACCTGTAATTGTCATTCAAAATTGGGGGTCACTGTCACACATGTTCACCTTGGCTCACTTCCACTCGCTGGAATTTCTGGTCGTCAGTAAGCACTTTTGGTATCATCTTCGCGCAGACCTCGCGCATGTTTAAGTACACCGTCACAATGTCACAAAAAACAAACTTCCATATGATGTTCAGTTTTTTTCTATCCCGATCGTCAATTAAGAAAAATCGCAAAAATGAAAAACTGAGAAATCGCGCGTCAAAATTTTCGCTTATTGCCCAAGCGCTCATATATCTGCTACACGCACGGTCACTATTTCCCTCCTAGCTTCGACAATATTTCGAATTCCCATCTATAACTTTGGGGAAATATTCTCAGATAAAAAAAAAAAAATTTTTTAAAGATGTAAGCAAAAAAATATTTGAAGCTTCTAAAGCAGGCTACCGCTTAAACGAACGGTCAGAGTTTTAAACTTCATCAGCGACATCTGGTGACACCGAAACACACCAATTCTTGCTAAAGCAACATCTGGATAAGCCAGCTTTATCATATCAAACGCCTCTGACGCAGATTTAAGTTTCACACATAATTTAATCGCGTACGTCTGCTCTAACGAACGCTGATTTTTCGGCTTGCACCACTCACAAAAACACGTCGGTGCTCGGAGACAATGACCAGCCACTCGTACGTTAGCTAGAAACGTCCTCCACCGAATCCAGTCGGTGCGCGCACGCCCCGGAGTACAGTCGCGGCGGAAGAAAATCAGACCTATTACTTTCGGAACAAACCCTGTACCTTTAAATGGATGACACCCAACATGAGCAATTTCTACGCTTTTTATGGCACCTTATGTCGACATATTGGATCAGAATGCTGTTTCGGAGAATGGCTTTTGGAGTTAGCGATGTCTCTTAGCCTTAGCCTAATTAACTTCTCAAACAACTTCTCAGCTATGTAGATCAAGCAGACTGACTGATATGCGAACTAATCCTGCACTTTTCTTAGCTAATTACGGGATGATGCTGTCTTTACCATATCTTTGGAAGCAACACTGCCTTCAAGCACGTATTGTAACGTTCATTTCGAATAGTACATAGAATCGTTCAACTGAAATTATTTTCTAAATTACTGTGGGAACTCTTCAGTTTGTGCGCGTCTTGCTGCAGTTCTTTTATTGTAAAAGGTGGTGAATCTCAGAAAGTATGAGTGTACGCTTATTTCTTTCATTTACGAGTCGTATGTCCTGGGAATAGCGTCAAAAACAAATTTGTCAATTTGCTTTCTATATGCAAAAATAAAGTTTTGAACAATAAGTTTGTGGCCTAGAGCCGAAATACCTTCGGGCACTTATAGCTTTGTATGTAATAGACCAAATCATGAATGGTTACTTCGGGGAATAGTAATTTTATATGAAACTACATTACAAGCGAAAAAAAAAAATTCAATCCCACCTAATCAAGAACATAGGCTAGCTCGATATTAGAACATATGTAGAATATAGATGCTTTGATATCCCAATATTAGTAGGCGTGTACACATTTGCATGAAACCGTTATGCGCCCACATATCATTGCTCAACGCAAAACTCATAAGAACCACCGTTAAGGCGGATATAAAGCAATCCAAATAGTGCATCCGGCCCGTTACAATTGCCACAGCAGCAATCGAATATGGACAGATAAAACCAGTGGAACTATGCAACATATCAGGCTTTCCCTGCACTATGACTATAATAACCAGAGAGCTAACAAAGTATCTGCGCACACATACAGTACACACACAACTGCGTACTATTCAAAGCACATTTTCCACCGGCGGACGCGTTAACGTTATTTGTGCGTCCAGCTAAATGCAACTGCTGAGCTTAATATGCATAAATATACAAAAGCATAGCACACACACACGCATACAGCCACATAGGAACGAACAAAGCAGTGGGCATTTAATCAGTCGGCATAAGGGAGATACGAGCATGGAATGCACTGAACGTTCATTTGCCTGTTGGCAAAATTTGCTCGACTGTTCGCTTGCCTGCTGCCGCTTGGGTGCCTGACCGTCTAGCGCCGTACATCCGCACGCCCATACGAAACGACTGACAGGCAGCTGAGCAACCAACAGACAAATAGAAACAAATCAGCAACCAACAGCCGTGGACCAGCTATTTAGGCCCGTATGAGTACACATACTGACGCAATACGTCTTTGACGGTGCCGTGAATGCTCTGCAAGAATGAGTTAAGCCTGAGCCATGTACAATGCGCACATATTACTAACTGTGTATGTGTGTGTGTGTGTGAGCCTGCAGCACAAGTTGGCTCGCAGGCACCGGTGCAACGTAGTCAACTCGTTGCATGCCTGTGTGCGCTGTGAATATGTGTTTGCACTTGTAACCCGTGCACTTGTTTGCTTTCGTACTCCGCATGGCTGAATAATCATCGCGTTCATTAATACGAGCCTTGCAGGCGCGTAACAGCGATCAGATCGTCGTCGTCGTCGGCGTAGTCGTCAGCTGTGTCGGACGAAACGTTCAACTAATGACTGACACGGGCATATCTGTCGCCGGGTGACCACACGGTCTACTACAATGCACACATGCCCACATATGTGTGTTGGTAACCGCAACGCCGTTCAGCAGTTGCCGCTGTGTTACAGTTTGACTTAAAATTCAGCCCATATTCCCTGCTGAGCGGGTTTGTTGGGCAAGGTTCCTTATAAAGCAAACTGTTTTATGTTTCTGAAATTAATATGAATTTACACCAATGCAACAGCAACAGCACACATTAGTGTGCGCCTTAGTAAGGCGAGGAGGTTAGATAACATAGCTACTACTTACTTAGTTGACTGACAGTCAGCGCACATTGTATACATTTAGCATATGTGGTAGTGTGTGCCCTCATATGCCTCCACATACATATTTGTTTGGTCTGATGTATCAGTTTCTCTTATGTTAACGCCAGTGACGTCTACGCCATACCACGTTAGCCTCATTTTCTAAACATGAGTCTGTGTGTATGTGTGTGTGTGGGCTTGTAGTGGTAATGCAGCACTGTGCATACAACTTTCATTTACAACAAGCCAGCTAGCTGGCAATTTTCGGTGCATGTTTGAGTTCTAATTACATGTTAGAGCAGCAGGTATTTTGTAATGATGTATGTATTTAGTGGCTTGTCATAATATGTTTGATGCAAGTAAGAGCTTTTGGTAGCTGGGTTGGTGTTGATTGCTTCCTGATTGCTCATGCAAAATCTAGAACGCCGACAAAATGCTTTACTTAGTAGAATTAGCAGTGTCTGCCCGTTATATGTATGCATTTGTACGCATTTGTTAGTGTTCAATTTTATTAATTTGGAAATTCTTGTTTAAGTTAACCATTAAAAGGAATTAGTTAATGTGAAATGGCACTGAGCGGTACATGATAAACTATGTACTTGTTGGAGTTAAGAGTTCGATTTTAGAGTAAATATATTTCTGTTTGTGAGGATCAAAGCATACATAAAAGAAACAAAAAGAAGAAAAATGGTAAATTCGGTTTACAAATATCAAGTTAAAAATTTCATATATAACATATACTTACAATGACCTTGAGAGAACAAAACTCACAGTACAATTTATATAATTATTTATTAGAGATAGTCATATCAACCGATCTATATTTGATTAAAAAATATTTCACAGCACAAGAAAACTTAAACGAAATGAAGATAATTTTGAAAAATACGTATTCTCAAAAAATTTAAAGGACAACGATTTTTTATGGTATGCTTTGATTTCTGATAAATTATTGAATTGTAGATATTCATAAGTAAATTAAAAGTAAATCACACATATTTTTCCCAAAAGACATTCATGCCTGAATATGATATTTCATTACACTAAAACAAGGAACCGTAATATACATATAAAGCAACAAAGCCAGCGGTGAGTTCATCAGTTGCCAATATCAGTCAGTTGTCTTGTGTAATGCAAATTTTGGTATTTGGTTAACTAACAGCTACTATATTGTCAGAAGACGTGTTAACCTAGGGCTGCAATGCCAGTGCTGCCAATTTGTTTATGCATTAATAAATTTCCTTGAGGACAACATTTAAACCATTTATCAAAAATTATCTGCTTCATGAATTATCTCTGACAAAATATTTATTTCCTACTAAAACACTGCAATTTTTTTTTATTAATTACGTACTCTGTTTTAGCGTCTGTTAACTATTTGCCCATCACTGGACATGACTTTCATTTTTAAAAAGTATTTACTAGTGTAATAGGGGTCCAGTTTGTTTCACGATTTATGTTATGGATGTGATGTAAAGGATTTATCTCCTTCGACCTCTTTATTTAATTGTCTGAAGTCCTAACATATATGTACGTATATGCATTTATATTCAAGCATTAAAGTAGTGCCATCAAGAAGACCATACATATTCAAGAGTTGAGTAAAAGATAAAATCCCGCACGCTAAATCATACTATACACCAACACATACACACTTATACTTACACTAGTGCACACACTTGTATTGAATTTTGATAACATTGTGGTCACAACTATTATTAACGTTCAAACAGTACCTCAATTGTGCCTCTTTGCAGTATTATCCAGCCGGACAATTAAGTGCCGCATCTGAGGCCGAAACAATGCACATGAATGCGCACAGTCAGGTTTGACATGAACATGCGCAGGAATCGCGCCTTTGACGTACGCCCTGCGCACCAACAATACGCCGCATAATGGCCAACAGCCGGCAGGAGACGGAGAAGATACTGAGCAATCATGATCAAAACGCAACAACAATGCCGAGCAGCCAGAATAGTACGCTCATGCGAAATCCCGATGTAAATCATCTCTACGCCAAATAAATAAATAAATAAATATATACATATATATTTATATATATATACATAATGCATAAATAGTAACTCAAAAACACATAACAAAGTGTAAAAGCAAAAAATACAAAAAACATATACTGAAACAACATTAAAAAAAATGGAATTAAGGGTGTGAAAGTATCAAAAATAATAACTTAATAAAATGAACTAGGAGCGTATATGTAGTTATTACTAAGAGTGAAAATAAAAATAAATATGCTATTGTATAAGTAAAAACACAGACGAAATCATACATAAAACACATTTTTTGTTTGGTATTAGTTATGCAACAAAAACTCATTGCAGACATACAGTCAAGTACAGAACACTGCAAAGCACAAGTGCAACAATAAAGCAATGCAAATAAACATTTTTTTTAAGTATGTATATATTATAAATTTTGCCAAGGAAATCTTTAATTAACATCTCATTTTTACCTATTTTTATATCATAAATATACATATTTTCCTGCTTATCCGAATTTTACCTAAAATAACTCAAATTTACAAGATGACTTCATCCAAAATGTCAAGTGTTTTTAATGTGAGATTTGAAATCCGCTTTTCTCCACCCAAAAGAGAAACACAACACAATTTGGACATACATATATGTAGGATGACATGGTTGTGTTAAAGAAGTCTGTTTGAATAAATGGCTTAGTTCATTCGTTTCGCTACTATCTAACGTTTAGTGCACCGAAGAAAGCTAAAATAAATCACTTATTTCGGGAATCTAAACGATGCGTCTTCTGTAACTAAAATTAAGAAGTTTGCTATTATTGAGCATATGTTTTTTTTTTTAGAATCTCATAAGTCGAAAGTTGTTTAGTTGGTTTTATGATGTCACTAGACAAGCTCACAGAAATTAAGATGTTTTCGGATATTTTAGTCATTAGATATGTTGTTGATTCGAAATGCTAACAAATCCTACGCTCCCAAACATTCTCATTGAAAGAAGATCTATCACAAGAGCTCATATTTTTTTCCCGAAGAAGTTGAAGTCTTCTACCAACTGAGCACTATCGAGATTATTTGCTCAGCAAATACGCTTGATATCCGTTCAGTGGTCTTCAAACGACTTTAATTGACAGCTTTCCAGTTCTCAGTGAACTGGCACATGAGCGTAGTCAAATTTTCTACCGCAAAAATAGCACCAAGTAAGTTTTCGCGTTGTACTTAAAAAGCGAGGGCAACAAATAAATGCATGTTCAGAGTCTTCAAAGCACTCTGAACTCGGCAGGTAATTCGGACTACTGTCGTGCTGGAATATGTACAGGTAGCTTCTAAAGCACCTATATATGCACATGTACATATGTTCTAAAGCACCCTTATTAATTGGGTCAGGTGGAGATTCAGTACCCCATGTCGACTGTCGATTCACAAATATACATATGTATGGTATCATACTAAGGGTCAATCGCCCTTTCAGTGATGTTTGCACCGCTGCGGCCATATTTTTAAACTTTTGACTCTCTCTTTTCTTTGTTGGTTCCTATAGACGACTCTGATAACTTGTATACCCGCCTGTATTCGCACCCTGGACGTCAATGGGCATAATACTGGCTATTACTTCAGATCCATATTGGAGATGAATTATATACAATCGAACTCACTACCTTTGCGAGTAAAAATCGCCGGCTGGAACGGACGCAGCCTATATTTTATTTGGTTTACCTGCCGTGTATTCTAGATGTTCCTTGAATTTGAACCTTGAGTCTATTATTACTCTTACAAACTTTAGTTGTGGCTGTAGATAAAATACTCTCCTATGGTCAGAGATATATTTTCCTTCACTTTTCTAGTACTAATGAGCATGATTTCTGTCTGTTGCTCAATCAGTTCTACACTCATTGGGGAGAATAATTGGTGCACATGATTTATGCACTCATTGAATTTGCTTCAGAGGTTATTCAGGTGTTTAGCCACTACTACCACAATAAGGTTGTCTGCGTATACAATTACTTCAACAGCTTTTGGTTGGTGTCTCCTTAGCGCCCTATCATACACTTGGTTCCACAGAAATACAGTAGTTCTTGGTGCCTTTATCAGTATCGAATAATAGTCGCCTGTTTCCAGAGTAACTCATAATAATTTTCATGCGATATTGAGAAGCGCGTATGTCATACAGAGTCTTGATTATGTTTGTCCACTTTGCAGATTTAATGGCATTCTTCTTCACATCCAGATCCGTTAGCAAACTAGTCGCTCAGTTTTGAGATATCGATCTTAAATTCTACTTACGTCATCGGTATCAAAAGTTTGCATAGAGAACTTTGTGTTTGTGCACTATTCAACTTTGGTGGTTTCATATTAATCGGGTTTTCTATCAACTACATTGCCATTAAAAGATGTTTACAAATAGTTTAAAGTTATTATATCTGAATTAGAAAACCCAGCAGAAAAAAATATATATATTTTGTTTTTTTTTTTTGCAATAATCCTTTATTTATTGGATCCGCTTGGTAAAGCCTAACGATAAGTATTCAAATTTGAAATCTAAAATTTATTACTTAAATCTAAAGACGCTTAAGAATGTGGTTGGGCTTTTGTAGTAGAAAAATATGTTTTACTTTATTTTAATTAATTTTTTAATTTCGAATTATTATTATTATTATTATTTTTTTTTTTTTTTTTTTTAATTTCTTACCAATTGGCTTGATTCACAATGCAATTGTTACGACAACTAACTCTACTTTGCTCTTGCCAATGGCAAAACAATTTAATTTAAATTGCTAATATATGTATGTGTTACATTTTCACCAATTATAATAATTTGTAAACAATTGTAAGGTTAGCGAGTCACTGCAGCCTAAAGCCTCTACAAATAGCAGTGACTACAAAGGCACGCTTCCAGTGTAAATTCAAATTGTTTCAGTAACACAAACACATGCAACTACTACACAGCCTAATCGAACTAAGTAAGCTCAATAAAATACTTCATGTACATACAAGCATACATAAGTGCGTACACTTGCAGTAATTTAGAAATAAATTGTCTTAAGCTTGCTAGTATTAGTAGATATAATCTATTAAATCAAATGTGAAAGTAAAATTAAACATTGATAAGCAAAGCAAGCAGAGAGGTAAATTACTAAAGTAAACGACACACACACACACATATACCACACAAACGGCAACAAGAAGTCAAATAACGGTATAATTAAATCTTGTAGAATATCTTAAATTTAAGCAGAGCATACGCTCATAAGTTACGGAAAGGCAACAAATGCAACAAAAACGCTGTAAAGGAAGCTAACGGCAACTACGACAACAATAAATTAAATGCTAAACGCAAGCATTCATATAGGATAAAGATATAAATATGTGTGTTGAATGTGTGTAACACAAACGGAGAGCAACATAGCTGTAAAGAAACCTGAATGTAACTAATTGTACGCCGAAAGTGGCAACATTTTAACTAGTAACACAACTGCATTTATGTAGAAACTCAAACACATGTATACATACTCGTATTGGCATTGTTGAAATGATGTGCGTGAGCGTTAGAGTGCTGGCATGTGTAAGTGTGTGCGTCGCGTAAGCAATTCATTGCAAATTCTTGACCAAAATAATTAAAAACTTATAAACTGCTGCCAAAAACACACACACGCGCAAGCATATCGTACACAAACAATAACAACAACAATGTATATGTACATATGTGAGTGAGTACACATATACATATGGCTATGCATCCAATATGCATGAAGCATGCTCATAAATAAATAAGTTAACTCAATAAAAGTGAAATACAAAAATTACTCACGAACAATACGAATATGTAGGCATACATATTTACGTGCATACGCATAAATTTAGGTTAAATGAAAACTGCAATTAATTGCATTGAAATGACTGATCACTAAACATTTTTAATTATTATATAAAAACTGAAATAAGCAAATAAATTAATAAAAAAAATCGTAGTATAAGAATTAATAAATAGATATGTATGTAAATGCGAAACTCTTGCTAAAGCAATGATAAAGTGAAACTTAAACAAATGCATATAGAATATTTGCATACCTACATATACATAAATACATAAGTACACAAAAATAAATATTAAAATTCACATGCATTTCCTATAATTTTTAGTCACAGCTGTACACCCTTTATTATGATATAACACACATTCTGGCATATCGTTTTTTGTAAATTCATATACATATATGTATTATTTGATTTTAATGACTTTATACACATTTTTTGCAATTAATGTAGCTTGATTTATGCAATTAGCATAAATAATTTATTTCGTTTGAGAGCATATACGATGCGTTTAAAAGCTCATTGATCGATTTAACTGATTTATTTGCAATGCCTGCGAAAACAATTAGTTCTTTTATTCTGCATAATATTCCTCATATAATGTGGTCCGATGGCATTTGGTAATGACAGCTTATAGAAATATTTATGTAGGATATCGATTTAAAATCGATTTTTTTGAACTTCGCAAGAGATTTGTTTCTTAACTTGAACCACGCATAGAACAAGTACTTAAATATAATATTTAATAAGAAAAAATTTATCTCTAGTATATTCTTGAACGGATTATAAACATTCATATTAAGCGAAAGTTTTATATTTTCTAAGGCTTTTAAAAGTTCAAGCCTGACGCTTTTTATAGTATCTAAATAATAAGCACCAGTTAGATTTTTTTGAAGAGAAAAAAAACTCAGAGTGGTTAAAATAAAATGAGTTTAAATTTGGAGTCAAAACTGCATTCAAGATCAGATATATGTATTATCTGATGATTGTAGCTAGAACTTGGAAATTGAAATTGAGGAATACGATCTTTTACGATCCGTTGCCATCTGTCCCTCTCTTCAAAGCAAAATTACTTAGTAAGAAGAGATAATTGAATATAATTATTTTATCATACCATTTCAACAAAGTTCACTAAGTTCCCCTAATTTTTAATAACTAAAATAAAGTCCACTGTTATAGTTCAGCTATCTACTTCTATGAAATG